ACAGACAGATCGGAAATTGAATGCATTTAGGCTACTTTTTATAAACCTCACACAAAATCACATAACACCCGTTTCTTTTTACTTTTCTATGGTCTTTATTAAAATAAAAAATGACCCATTTTTCTATTTCCCCATTTCTAAATGGCAATTGGGGAAATGGTTTGTTTCCTGATTTTGGTTTTCCAAACAAAAAAAACCCCATTGACCGAATTGCCTCTACTCATGGTTAATGTCCATCAGTCTCCAATTAGCTTATTCATCTATGTTATTGATCTCCATTGTTGTTGTTCAAAAATGATTACAAACATCAGTGAAACAAACACCGCTGGACATGGTTCTTCATTACGAAACACCAGACCTGCATATCTGTTAAAAATGTTGCTCCAGACAACCATAACTTTTTACGGCACCTGAAGTAATAAAGACTCATTGACGTATACACAAGAGCTCCTCACGCTTTTGAGTCCTGGTACTTCAGGCACTGTAAAAAGTCATTTTTAAACAATGGCACAGATGAGTAAACTAATCCAGGTTCAAGACTGATAAACTTTAACCATCAGAGGCAACTCATTGCTGGCTGTAGTCTCTGTATGGGGACCGTTTGAAAATATTAATATAGGAAATGACCAACGTCATTCTTTATGATGGGAAAAATCAAGTCATTTGTTTTGTAGCCAAGTTTTTAAAATATAGTGCCACTAGAGGAGACATCAGAAGTCTGTGTAAATGCACTTTTGTACATACCGGATCTGCGTGTTTGTGTGTAGATCAAGGCTCCTGTGCTTCTGATGCTGGGAGGCCGTGACAAGCGAGTGCCTCCTCACCAGGGTTTGGAACTCTATAAAGCACTGAAGAGCAGAACCTCACCTGTGAGGTACAACAGAGCAAGTACACTGATCAGGCATAATATTATGACCACCTGTACATCTGTATGCACTTCAGTGCAACACTTCTGTCTTAACATTTGTGTTTATGAAGCTGAAAATGTTTCAGTTTTTGGTGAGATTGGCTTAAGTGTATATAAATTCAACTATATGTTGATTGGCCTAAGTGTATATAAATTCAACTATATGTTCATTATTGAGGTCATAGTTAAAAGGTGGTGTTGTACTGGACTACATTATTATATTCAGAGGTGTGTGTATATTTTTGTTCTGCCCCTCTGAATATAATAATGTAGTCCAGTACAACACCACCTTTTAACTATGACCTCAATAATGAACATATAGTTGAATTTATATACACTTAGGCCAATCTCACCCAAAACAAACATTTTGAGCTTCGTAAACACAAATGTTAAGGCAGAACTGTTGCATTGAAGTGCATACAATTGTACAGGTGGTCATAATATTATGCCTGATCGGTGCATATCAGTAAAGACAATCTAACAGAGTTCATTTGAGCATCCCTGTTATTTTGTCCTCCATGTCAAAAACAAAGAAAAATGTTATAGCACTAAAGTGTGTTTATGAAGACTGACCCCACCTGTTTGTCCTTGTAGAGTGTTGTGGTTTCCAGAGGATGGGCACTCTCTGTCTAGAGTGGACACACAGGCCGACTGCTTTCTCAACACAGTGCTGTGGCTGGCCCAGCATCTGAACTCACCCACGCTGTGATGGACACTTTATTGGAGGAAGGAGTGCTTCTGCACAGCTTCATTAAAAAGAATAAATTGATTATCAGAGCATGTTACAATCTTTAACACATCACTGCCTTTAAGCACAAATGCATTCTGGAGGTTACAGTGTACTTAATTGTGTAAGAACATTTCCAAATCACAATGGAAAATCTTATACATTTGTACTGATATACAGATTTTGTTTGCTTGGTGCTACATAAAGTGTCCAAATGCCAAGTCGTATTTATTTTTTTCATACATTCATATTGCTCCTCCACTTGTCTGCCAAAATCACTACTAATTTAAGAGCACTAAAGTGTCATCCCTGAAAATATCATGCCATGCTATCTTTTTCAGCCTGGAGTATGTCATACATGAGATGTGATTTGAAAAATGTACAGCAGATGGCAGTCTCTGCCTATGTACCCCATTTCATTTTTGTAAACATCTATGGCATTATGAATTCAGCATTTTCCTCACATCGGCTTTTTGGTTTCTGACCAAATGTGATGCTTTACCAAAACAAAATACAATATATCAGTGCAAATGCACAAGATCAGCTGCACAATACAAGGAATAGTCTATTGTACAGTGTGACCCTCTTGCTTTCAGAAAAAGGACAAAAAAAAAAAAAAAGCAAGTTGTAACAACACGTAATCAGCTGCATTTCAAAATGTGACATCTTAAGCTGTGTAACCACACAGACCCTCAACAGAGTTGTAAACCACCCAAACCACTTGAAACAGTCTGGGGCCTTCTGAGACTTGACCACTTTCCTCACAGGGCTGGCCAAACAAATACTCCAACATTGCTTACACCATGATTTACAGATGAGATCCAGCAAAGCGACCTCTACTTGCCTCTTTCCCCTCACTTTTGGATTTTTAAAAAATTTTTTTTTACAATGATCAGCTCCTGTGAAAAATACCTGGCTCTCTTGCTTGCCGTATATTTACAAGTCTTCACTTGCTTACCTCATCTTTCTTCCATTTGGCACCAGGCAGGTCTTTCCCTCTTCTCTGGATTTCTTGTCAGTCATGGGCTCCCCACAAGTCCTGCAATGAAAATACCAGATTTTAAATTCCCTTCCATTCAGCAAATCTCGCCTCCCACATGAGGCTGATTTGCAGTTTAGATCTTAGTCCTCTATCTTCCACAAACAACCTTGTTTTACTCTTCTTGTTTAGAAACATAAGAACAAACTGTGAAGACATCTGAGACAAGAGATGAGGACACAGACAGTTGATGCAAAATACATAGCCTGTTTGTTAGCATTTGGCCTTGTTGAGACTCGAGAACAGCCTTGAACAGTCCCACCACCAAAGAACATAAATTGTGAAGAAGTGAAAGCTAAATGAATGTCCCATTGCAACACCAGCACACTGAAGTGGGGCTAGGCGTTCACCATTTTAGACTGAAAGCAGCTATCAAAACTATCGAGGGGCTGAATAATGCCACCAAAACATAAGAGTAAAACAAAATTCTCTACTTTATTGTCGAATTTACTAAAAAATTAAAAATATAAAAAAATACTTTATTTATTTACATATAAAATTTATGAAAATGTGGGCACTTTCAGTCCTTAATGGCTATAGGCAAATTCTGAGAAGGAAGTCAACGGTGCATAATTTAAACTCTCTCATATACATATGATTTTTTTTATGCATCTTTCTGGTATTCTTAGCTTTTTCAATTTGATTAAGATACTCATTATATAGGCCTACACATTTGATATTCTCTTAATCCTATAAAACCATTTGTATCATATCTGCTATGCGAGTTTCTGAGCAAAAAAAAAAAGTTGCCAAAAATGCCCCATGTATCAAATGTGATACAAAAAAAAAAAAAAATCTAAATAATGGCACATTTATTCCTATATGCCTGGACTGTCTGTCTATGCATAAATGGCAAATAAAAAGCGTAAAGCTTGAATTTTCTTCTGGATTTTGTTAAAAGGTTTAAACATCTCAGTTCCAAAATATTAGAATGTTCTGGCTATTTTTTGATGTGTCAGGCTTTACAGGGTTAAATTAGAGTGAAAATATGCACTGCACACCCTGTAGCATTGATGGAGCCACTGAGACGAGCAATGCACTAATGAGATTCTGCACCCACCTGTAAAAGGCAGTAAGTTATTAGGCTATATACATTTATTTCATTCAATTAATAAGCTACATGACCATTTCAACATTAAAATTAACAAGAACTGCTGAGAGGAAGAAGAAAAACCAAAGGGTACTTTCATTCTAAATCAAAAGGGGAAAGTTTTCCAAGTTTTATGATTTAATCTGAACTAAGTAATCTTTTATTATTCAGGGAGATGCCAAAAGGTAGCACAGGTTGTTTTAGGTAGAAATAATTAGATAATTCTACTAATATTACCATTTACAATGTTTACTCTCATACTGATAGTTTTTAAAGCTGCGTGCCAAACAGTTTTCTATTATTCCACTTGGAATTCATTTTCTGCCATATCCCTGTCAATTAAGTTATTTGTCTGTAAGGTCTGTACCACCCTAAAACCCAGAACTGAGTTAGCCTTTATGCACTTCCTGTTTCCATGCCCTGAAGTCAATAGGTTTTTGGTTAGACACCTGAAATAAGGTCTGTGGTTAACACAAGACCAATACATTTCACACTTTGTTCTATGAAATTAAATAGACAAGTAAATACCCCACTCAAACTATTCTAACTCAATGACACAGCCATGATCACTAGGTAGATCCGGCCATACCAAGATTTGGTAGAATAGATTTGGCACTATAAATCAAATTCCAAGTTGGAAGCTGTGGTGGTGATACCAAAGCTGAAGTGATGGGGCCGTGGTGTGGTTCATTTATAACATAACAGATTTTTATTTCTGGTGATTATATTTGGGCTTCAATCATAAAAGCTGTGTTCACTTGTGAAGATTATGTAGCTGAACAAAATTAAGTGGCACCAACCCTTGTTTGTCACAGAGCTTATTTTCTGCAATAATCCAAAAGCCTATGAAAAAAATCCCACTGTCTTTTTGTCGAGGGAACCAGGGTGACAGGGTCAACTTTTGGGTTGGTCTACAATAAAACAGCATCCCTACAGCACTCTATTGGTGACTTCAGCCCAAAATGGTGGCAGCGCCACCACAGCACCATCTAATGGCTGCTGTCAAAAAAGAACCAGAATTTGGCCTCTGGTTCTGTACTCTGCCACCATTTTCACTCTCCAGGCAACCCAAATGGGCATTCTTTCAACTGATGCCGTGAACAATAAAATTAACAGATTTTGAAAGATTAAATACCTGACATGAGACAATGAAGTGGCTTGATATCTTCCAGAAATTTCCCCTCGGCAGTCTTGCCCTGATGCCCCAGACACAGCGGCAGCATTGACTGTATTCTTCACAAACCCTTTGCTCTGTGGCCTTGATTGCAGCTGCTGCCTGCTGATGTCATTGTAATGTGGGTATTGGGTGAGATCACCAATCTGAGGGAAGAAGAGAGGGAAGGATGGAGATTGTGTTAATAGAGAAACAGCAGAAAAAGAAAAGTGGAGTAAGACAGAGGTGACCGGCTGTTCGACACAATGAATGAGCCATATAGAAGGGGAAGTTCAGTGTCTCTGGTATTCTGGTGCGTGGGCTGGGGCACAGAGATGAAGCCTTGTTGAAAGCTGAAAACGGTAAAGACTCATGGTCATGCTGGGTATATGCAGGAGGCACACAGACAAAGGGAGGAAAGACTAAGTGTGTTCTCTGATGCTGAATGACAAAGAGTCCTTTAGTCTTAGTTTGTTCTGGTGCTTCGCCTCTTCAGCTGGCTGCAGAGAAAGAGAAAAGTTAAACAGAGTACAGCAGAAAATAATGGTAAGGAGCTGAGTAGAACAGTACAGAAGAAAGCCAGGTTCGGTTGAATTGTACAATTATGGGTGAACATGCAACACATTTCATTTGAATTCTGGATATGTCCTGATGGTGGCACTAAAAGTGTTGCCAAAAACACCAGGATTCATCCCTTGAGGACTGATCATCCATAAAAAAAAAATTTTCATGGCAGTCTCACAAGAGCTGTCAATCATCCTACTTGAATTAAAGAACTAGTACATGAGTTAGATGAGAAGACTGATACCATGTCTGTATGCTACAAATAAAGCCAGCAGTCAGTTAGCTTATCTTAGTGCAGTGACTGTAAACAAAAGGAAACAGCTAGTCTGGCTTTGATGGAAGGTAATAAAAGCTAACTGCTGGTACAGTTAAAGCTCACAAGGCCACATGTTAGCAGTCTGTTTAATACATAAAAAGAAATTTAAAAAACTAAAGTAAAAAAGACACACTATGGGGTTATATGTACAGTATACTGGACAAGGTCTTACCTAAATACAATAATGTCCTGGAATTTATGAGGGTTTTATAAGTGTTGGACACAAGCTACCAGGATCAGTGCTGGGCTGAGAAGCAAGTTCGGCATAGCAGCCAAGCTACCTTACTACAACGTCCGCATTCATGTGATACACACTGGCCCAAAAAGGATTTATTTATTTTTTTTATAATCAGTGAAAATAGAGCTGCTGCAAAACAGTGAATAACCTTTCTAAGTGTCACAAACCCCACTAAATGACTTTTCAGAATTTGATTAATTTGGTCCAGTATCATTTGGAAAGCCTAGTTTAGCCATAGGCTATTTTTATTTTATACCATTCATGTGTCCGTGGCAGTAACTGGAAGTCAGCCGGTGGGAGACTCGGATCGACACAAGTGAACATGTTCTATGAGCGCCAAAATGCAGAAGCATGCAGACCGTCAATCTGAGTCTCCCACCGGATGAACCGGCTGAGGCCTGAAGAATTTTTTTTGGAGTATGCTCCACTGGGCAACCTTCACAAAAATGAATAGGTGCCACCTAGCAATGCTGTATCCGATTCTCCCTTAATACAGCCTGGACAGAACCAGGCACATTCTGTGCTTATGATGGCCCATCCCGCAGTTTGAGAAATCAGGAAATGGAGCAGTAATGTTGTGGATGGCAAGCAAAAAACAAACCTCCTTGAACAAAAATGGATAAAGTAGAGGGTCTTTTGAATGGTAAGTTC